TCCCACTGGTATTGATTCGTTCACAGCATCAGCATAATCCACTCGCTTGACTTTTCGGCGAGTCAGCCATGCAGGCAGCAGGCTCCTTATATGACTAGTATCGCTAGCACGCTAGCCTGACTTACCGGCCATGTCCGTCTCCCTTGGTCCCCCTCTGCTGAGCACCAGGTACTCTGTCGCTCCACAAACCTGTCTCCCGGTCTTGTCTACTTTTCCTGCTCGCTCGTTTTACAGCGCTTAGCTCGACGCTCGATTCCCACTCTCTCGCTTTGTCCGTCACTTCTGCGACCGCACGATCGTTTTCCACAGCCTGTCGCTTCGTTTCCACCCTTCCGCACTGTCCGCCGCCTCTGAGCGCGCGCCTTGGACTGCCCGACCTGTTTTGCGGCCTGTGTACTGTGCGTGTCTTATCTCGCCTCGGCCGAAGCCCGGTCCCCTCCCCCTGGACCCGGGTCGTTAACCGCGCCACGACTCGGGTCTCCTCCCACCCCTCTGCCCCTCCCTCCCTCCTCGTGCTGGCCATCCTCCGCTCCCTCTATTCGAGCCCCAAATCAAGCTAATGGCACTGGTCTGCAATGCATCTCAGACATAATGCATGAAGCAAAACATAGCCAGCCGTAAGGCGCTACATGCCAGAGCATTTTTAGGATTACGATACACAAAAATGCAAATGTGAAGTAGCTTACCGGCACGTGAATGCCTTGATTCATAAATAATGAAATAACTAGCCACATTTTGTGATGTCCCCAAACACGCAACTACAAATGGCAGCCTGAAAATATAGCTTAGTGCACGAGAACGTTTCAGCCATGTCAAAACAAGTCACTCGGTATAGTACAGTCGGGAGCAACATGTCACTCGCAGCACATCAGCCTGAACATCATGGAGGAAACATGGGCCCGTTTGTCGTCATTTGTTGATCAGCTATCGGATCTGATACTGGTCAGTCGTGACTGGAGAGACTGGAGAGAGAGACTGGGCCCGTTGGGCCGGCTCCTATCACGGCAGTCGACCGCTTTCTCTCAGTACCGCGCCGGCAGGGCGGGAATGACGTGGCGCGCGCGGCCGGACACCCGCAAAAAGCCACCCGAGCGCCGCCCGCGCGCCGCGCCAGCCTTGGAGCCGCGGTTTGAAGCCGCGTGTGGTGCCGCCGCCGCCGTGCCGCTGCCGCCGCCCACCACCGGTCAGACGGGGTATTAGCGCCCGCCGGCCGCGCTCGCTCCTCCCTCTCTCTCCGCTCAGTGTGGGCCCTCTCTCCGCCGCGCCGGACGGCTGTGGTCCGAGCCACCCCTGGGTGCACGAGACGAGCCCGGCCGAGCGCTGCACGGCCATGGTTCACGTCAGGTCTGTGGCGTGACTGAGCTAGCCGGGTGAGGGGAGGCCGGAAGGGGCGCCAGCCGTGCCAGGTCGGTCACGATTCGACCACACTCGGAGCACCAGCCGTATGCAGGAGGCATGTTTACACACCTAAGGCGCTACTCACGAGCATGCTTTACAGCGTAAACACTTCGCGCTACCACCAAACCGATCCTCCCATCGTGTTAGTGTCAGAAGCATTCGCGATGTCTCATCTCACAATGGCCAGATGACGTCTGCGGTGCATCAGCCGCGGCCCGGCCGGTTACGGGGGACTCGGGGAGCGGCGCGACCGTCGGCGACGGGCATGAGAGGAATAACTGCGGATCACAGAGTGGCCAGTTGCCGCCACCCACTCTCCAAACACGGTGTGTGCCGCGTCACCGCGGCGCCGGGGTGCGCTGGGCTGTCCCAGACAGTTGACCTCGTGTCGGGGAGTCGCCGTCAGGTCCAGAGAGCAACAACGCCCCTCTGCAGAGTAGTGGGGAGACGGTGACCTACCGAGTACTCAAGACGTGTGGCGTCAACTGTACATTAGGTGCCGTAGCACATGACCTTTATGTTCTACCTTTCCTATAGGGCAAGCTTTAACCCTCGCCGGCACAGGCCATTTTGAGTCCTTCGACGGCACAAGGGGGGGGGGTTGGTACGACCCCCCTCGCGTTCGGCCCCTGATCGAGCTAGAGCTTCGCGGAAAAAACGAGCGTGTTGCCCGTCACGAGAGGAAGCCCATGATACCCAAGTTTAAGGTCCTAGGTCATCGGGTGACCTTCCAGGTCAGGTCAATGACCCGAAAACTGGGAAAATCGGGACCTGTTAGAAAGTCGTAAAGTGTGGCTGCTATGTGGTTTTCCGGGGTGCTGATCACGAATATCGTGTTAGTTTTGATCATAGATGATGTCTTTAAGCATTTAGACCAGGTCGGGTCAGGTCAGGTCAGGTCAACCGGTAGGGGCTGTGACGGGTATTCGTAATACGTGTCAACCGCCTCGGACAGCTTCGTAACATGTTACGAAGGCACCAAAACCCCTTCGTAAATGTTCAAATGGTTGCTAAATTCGAATTCAGCTCCAAAAACTAGCCTAGAAACATGTAAAACTCGAAAAAGTGAACCGAGGTCACCCGAGGTCATCAAAGGTCAATGACCTGACCTGACCTTCAGGTGACCTTGACACCCACCCTAATGCATGGGAGCAACATCAAATCACATGTTTGAATGTTTGAAACCACGAAAAGCTTGCAAACGCGCCGCTAATGCGAGCCGACATGCGCCGAACCGCGATTTCGGCCAAACATGGTCACAGAAAAGAGGTCACAGGTCAAAGGTCATTGGGGTCAGGGTCATGAAATTTTCAGGGTAGGTGTAAAATTGACCAATGCGAGGGTACTGAAAGTTTCGTCGCGATCGGCCGCTTTTTACGCGAGTTATTCGCGAAAAACCTTAGGGGGGTTGCATCAACCCTTCCCCCCCTGTGCCGGCGAGGGTTAAAGCTCCCGTGCTCGACAACCTTGCCGTACATACAGGAGTCGCTGCTGACTGTCTCACTGAACAGTGTTCCACCTCCCATTGCTCCATCTCTTCATGGTCATCCGTTTCACTCATGTACCAATCAGGAGTCAGCGGGAGGAGCCGATGACGACATCCTGAACAGACTCTCCAGTGCCGTGATCAGAACTTGGTCACCGTCGAAATGCGAGGCATGACTCGACCGTTAGGTCACAGCGTGCGGTCACGACACTTAGTCATCGGATATTTTGAGGAATGGCGCCATCATGGTTATAGAGAATGTCACCGAATCGGGCCGTTCTGAAACCTATCAGGTATCGCATAACGTTTGATAAATTGCATTAAAATGTGGAGCATTGAGTCTGATTTCTCACCTGAGGCATCGTCAACATGACTTCCATTCTATTGATTTCTGTGTGCATGGATTTCGTTTCCCGTCGGCCCTTATGCATTCTAGCTGCATCTAGGCTCCTTGCATAATCGCGAATGGCATGTTACGCATTACACGGAGGCCTATCCTGACAATATTGTCATGCGGTGCCCATGTAGAGAAATCCGTGACGCGGGCCCATGTCACGGCACCAGCCACGGCTCCCAACTCTCATAGTTTATGCATTCTATTCAATTGAGACGCTCGCTGGAACTGTTCTCCACACAGCAAAGGAGCGATTCTGGGGCGGGATGGGCGGCACCACACCGACAGCGACTGTTACCATCAGCACAAGGCACTAATGCAACGTCTGTATTCCCCGCGAGCCGGCCGAGGCAGCCGTACCTGACATTCTCCATGGACCGGTCCCGCTGTTCCTAAATAGTTTGACTACTCGACCTTCCCAAAATCATGGAGGCTTATGACGGGGCAAGGTTGTAATGCATAACGATGAGGGAATAGATGGAATATCAATCAAAGTCATTTTTCTCCTTCTTTTACTTCAAATCGCCTTACATAACACCCTTGGGCCTTGATACTCTCCTTTCTATCCCCGTTTTGCCTTCTCGCTTTGCAGTTTCAGCTCTCTATCCTACCCCCAGCCTCTCTCTCCTCTCCCTCTCCCTCCCTTCCTCTGCACCGCCCGGGGGCGCGGCTGACAGGAAGTTGCAGCCGGTCGGTCGGTCGGGTCGAGGCGGCGGCTTTCGCGCATGGCCTCGTTCGGTCACCGGTCGGTCGGCTGGTCGGTGTCGGGCCGGGCCCGGTTACATGTTGGTCAGCGACCTCGAGCAAGTTTCACTTGGCCCCGCCTCGCCCGTCTCCGGACGTCAGGAAAGTCCACTTGGCCGGTGAGAGAGGAGAGTTGGCACGCTGACGAGCGAGAGCCGCACACGGTGGGGCAGAGAAGGGAACGAACGGTCTGGAGAGGAAACTCGAGAACGGCTGGTGCAGCAGCAGGTGCATAGCGGTTCACACGAATATCGCAGCGAAATATAATATGAATCATTGAAGCATAAATACGAGGTGTCGACTACTTTTATCCTAATGTTACTTTTATCAAATGCTGTTTATTGTGAACAACACGGCACGGCGCTTGTGAAGACTAATGTCTATCGAACCGCATCCTTGCAAGCATTTCAGATATATTTAGTAAACCAAGGAGGACGTGCACGAAAATCCCTCTTTGACGAGAATTTAGGTACCGTGCTTTAATATTTTTTACAGCTGTAACCATATTCGCTCAAGATAGCTAATAATTGTAAGCCGGCGCGGAGAGTCATTTAGCTTCCCGGATAATCCTGCCGGTGATCCGCCCTCTGATGGCTATACACCGGTCAACTGACCTTGGCAGTCCCAAAACGAACCGGGCCGGCTCCATAAGATGTTTCGGAGCCCTGCAAGTTCCAAGGCCACGTCCACTTTTACCGGTCATCTCATCGAGTCCGCAGATCTGGTCCACCCAGCTCTGAGACATTGATTCTCTCACCAAACACAGCCTCTGTCATTACAGTGTTGCTGACACACGTTGGAAATCCCAGCCACAATCTACGTCATCGCCTAAAGCCACCCAGTTTTGGTCTTGATTTCCACAGCACTGAGCGCAACCCAGTCAACTCCTGTGTGGCTCCTTCAGTACGACACCGTTCCAATCGCCTGCGCCTGTCGGCCGCTGTTCGATCGTCTGACATCGTTCCTCTCTCTTCACAGGACCCGGCTGTCAGACTGACGACGGAAAACAGCTGTCATCAGGAGAGAAGACAGCACGGAGCAACTGCAGTGAGACGTGTCTCTGTGAGGCGAACGGCACGCTCAGCTGCACTCCAACACAGTGTCCACCCGGTACGTGTCCTCGTGCAGAAGCAGAGATCGACCGGGAAAGCCGGTTCGAGTTTTTTAGTTAGCTCTGAGGAATTCGGGATATTGATTGGCAATCACAGTACCTACGACGCGACGCATCAAGGATGATGCGTTGCATTGTTTGAAAATCAATCATTATATTTTTGGCGATAGCTAATTGGAATTAACGTATCTCACCGGAATGGGTTTTTCAAAGATTGACGTAAGCAGCGCTCTTCAGTATCTGATTCCCGTGTCTCATTGTTGCGGTTTTCAGATAGATTTACTACTGGATGCTTATTCTATATGTATTTCATTGCGATTGACATTTAAATGATATTTTTAAGCTGACATTTCTTGCTCGTACGCAAAAAAAAAACACTCAGCCTCCAATAAATAAATGAGCCAGTTATCATGGGTGCCTGCACATGCAAAAACCTTCGCTCTTTTAACCCGCGCCCCGCTGGGCTATTCATCCATACGCGCCTGCCCCCCCCCCCCCCCTGTCTAACTTCCGAACCGATGGTCGTAGAAAGACGGGGAAAACGGCAATCAAAAGCTCTCAACAAGGCGGATCTTAAGAGCCCAAATTTTTTTTGCTTAAGTAGGTCAGAGGTCAGGTCAAGGTCAGGTCAAGGGTACAAGATGCAAGTTTCTACAGTGTCGGCCTTGCACCGCAGTTGCCGAAGAATGGACTGAGACTGATTGCCCAAAACGTGTTCTTACACTACCAACACAATATTCGTTGCATACAATGTCATTCAAAGGTCAAGGTCAAGGTCAAGGTCAAGGTCAGGTCAGGTCAGGTCACCAAAAACAAAATATAGAATAGGGCATGTGCGACACATGTTTTTATGGGTCATTTTACTCATAGAATTCAATAAGCAGACTCAATAAGTGATATGGACCACCTCTGGATGAATTTCAGGTCGAGGTCAGGTCAAGGTCAGGTCAAGTGGGGTCAAATTTTGAAGTTGGTTGTTAAGGCCTGAAAAGGTGTCTATCTGATGCAGTTTTTCACGGCGAATCGAATGGTGCTATTTTTGTTTCCGTACGAGGTCTAGAACTTAAAAAAAAAATCATTTTTCAAAAAAATTTGTGTGTCGTGACGTCACAAAATTTTGAATAACTCCCACATTTTTGAACCGATTCTTCTAAAAATTGGTATGTAGGTGCACACAGACCACTTCTCTGACATATTTTCCGGTTTTTTCGATACACTCAAAATTTTGGATTTTATAATTATTTTTTCCAAAAAAAGTCAGTTTTTTGAAAAAATGTGGGCCAAAATCCAAGATTTTCAAAAAGTCGAGATAGCCATTTGATAGACAAAGTAGAATCACGTATAACCTTTTTTGTTACGTCTTGATTACTTTAAAAATGAAGATGTTAGCGGCGTTTGAAATTTTGCCGTTTTTGAGGCGAAAATGGCGAACATGACGTCACCAAAACGTCAATTTCTCAAAAAAAAATTCCGACGGATTTCGCTCAAATTTTCAGGGAATGTGTCAAATTGATGTATGATAAGGAACTGAAAGTTTGACGTCGCTGGCGTAACGCGTTTAAAAGTTATTGGCGAAAAACGGGAGGGGGGACAGATTCTGCCCCCCCCCCCAGCGGGGCGCGGGTTAACCCTATTAGTGGCAGGCTCCTGGCTACCCCATATTAGTGGCAGGGGGGGCTGTTTACGACCCCCCCTTGATATCTCGAGATCTAACCGGCCGATTTTCAAAATTCAAACGGCATTCAATTTGGCTCAACGAGATCTACATTTCTTTAAAAAAAAAATGTCAATAGGGGGGTAGAGGGGGGTAAAAACGGGCAAATTGCAGATACATTTTGGACTGTTTATCACGGCCAGGTTTCTGAACCAATCTTAACGCAACTTTTGCCGATCGATAGAGAATGAACCAGGAATTCACATGGATCCTAAAAATATGCATTTTCAAAAATCATAGGCGGATACAGATCATTGAGATTGGGGGTACACAAAAAGTATAGTAAATAAGGTTTTTGTTGGTACTGTTTCTAAAAAGGGTGGCAATGGTCTTGTTATGTTACAATTTTCTTAGGAGAGAACGACTAAAATTGTATTGGTCATGCATAGGCGGTGTCAGGGCACCTATGTTGGGAGGTAAAAAATAACCCCCCTTTTTGGACGCCTGGATCCGCCTATTATAGCAAAAACGTGTCAAAAGGGGATGCACAATAACTTTGTATATGTTATCACATGATACCTTTCATTCACTGTTCGTAAAACTGGTACAGCATCGTGATCTTCGCCCAAATGACTCGCTTCACGAATAGGACCCCCAATTCCCATTGCTCTGGAGCCACCCCTGGTAAAGTTATGAACTTGAAATTTTCAGGGAATGTGCCCAATTTAGTTTTAGGAAAAGTCAGAAAATTTCAGCATCGTAGCTTCAGCGGTTTCGGAGATATTCCCGAAAAACATGAGGGGTGGATAAAAACAACCCCCCCCCCCTGCCACTAATAGGGTTAAACCGTGCCCATCATTTGTTGGAATCCGCCCGGTCATGTCAGCGTTATTGCCATACCGACAGTCGCAGTCTCTCGTGTTATTTTCCTGCGTCTAACTGCAGTCTCTTCGCCGCCAGGTTTGTATGTATCGGGGGCGTTCGCCGACGACCCATCCTGTGTGGAGCTGAAGAGCTCCAATGCTGACCCCTGCTGTGTCAGTGTCGTCTGTCCCGATGAGCCCTCTTCTGAGGAGCAGAAAGGCGCTACCGGTGAGTCATGATGGAAACTGATAGATGGTGGGTATGATTGATGGGATAGGTTTGATGTGGGTTTGATGTAAGTACCTATGTACAGCGCATACCTGTAGTTCCGGGATAACACTAAACAATGTTATTGAATTTTTCTCGGCCATGCATATCCTCAGAAGATAGAAAGTATTGATCCTTCTCTCAAACTTTCGTGAAACCATTTGGCATTCGTACATGCAAATTGATAACCGGAAAGGGGCAGATAATATTCAAATATTTCTGACTCACGATAAAGGAAAGCTGCACTTTATTGGTATCATAACTAAGTAGGCTTCCGGGCCAGGTAGTTGCACCTACCAGTACAGGCAGCTGGACAGAGAGCTAGTTTTATAAGATCTGCGAGCCGCTGCTGTTATGTCAGCCAACGACTCAATCTCTGTATCGAAGAGCATGAAAATATGACGTTTAGGAATAGATATTATCCTTGTACTTACTTCTAGTACTAAATATATCAGGTTCAATTCTTAGCTAGTTAGCTCTTAGCGTAAATGAAGCTTAGGTACAGGTCTCGCGGGTTTTAGCGGTAGGTTTTGCACCTAGAAAATTTAGTGTACTTCAGGCTATATCTTCGTCGTCTTAAGCTTTTAACCCTCGCACGACCAGGCCATTTCTCATAACACGAACGACCAGGGGGGGGGGGTTGTTACGACCCCCCCCCCCCCCTTGGCGTTTCGAAACGGAAGGTCGTAGAGCTTAGCGGAAAAAACCAACGGATTGCTCTCAACGAGATCTCGCGATTGGTGGTATATTTTTTGGTCCTAGGTCAACATTTGACCTACTTTTGACCGGTCAAAGGTCAAATTTTCGGAAAAATAGACTTTTTTCAACTTTCAGCGACGATTGCGGCAAAACGGTGGGAAATATCGACTTGAAACCTTCACTATCGTGTTCCTTGATCAATTCTCTATCGTTTGGTATGTATTTCGTTTCCCTAGCTCTAAAAATGGCGCGTTGGGAGCGCCGGAAGTCGGCAAGGTCACAGTCGGCGGCAGAAATTCGAAAAATCAAAATTTAAATTTTTGAAATCTGATTGTATTTTTGGATTTGGGAGGTCCATTTGCTCCCTATAGAAGCTAATATTGCTGCATATTCCCATTGAGGTGACAAGAATTAGCAAAATAGTGGTTCGGGCGCTTTTCAAAAATAGTACCGGACGCTGTTCCTCTTGTGACGTCATAGCTCCGTGACCTGACCTGACCCGGTCAAATTTCTTATACCATATGATAGCCAATACTTGCCCCAACATGCATGGGAAGTTTCATCACGATCCATCAACCGATGTCCGTACCACCGGCAGGAAACCTCGGGCGTTGGCACTCAGTTTGTGAAAATCCGGCCGGAGGCTGTACCTCTTATGACGTCATAACTCCGTGACCTGACATGACCCGATCAATTTTTTTTCGGCAAAAGATGCGCAAAGGTTGCCCCAGAGGGTATGGAAAATTTCAGCCCGCTACGACAAGCCGTTTAGCGTGCACTTCGAAAAAACCTCAGGGGGGGGTTGATACAACCCCCCCCCTAGGCGTTCTAGGGTTAAGTGTTGAAGATGCGATCGACTTGTTGGGTAACAAGCCGGCCATGATCGTGTAAAATGGCTTCATCGTAGATCGATTAGTTTCTGAGATATAACCGGAAATGTAAAAGTGCAAAACCTACCGCTTAATCTCGCGAGACCTGTACATGATCATTTCGACATTTTATTTTTCTGGTCAAATATCGTGAAAATGACACGCGATACATGGCCCCATTTACTGTTACTTGTATACCAGGCGCTTGTAACACTACGGTTTCCGGGCACTTACACCGTTTGCGTGACTGTCTAGTGGTTCATTGACTGGCAAATGAGGTGACCACATTCATCTTGACTACGTCTCCTACAACCCCAATGATGTCCCACGAGCACGCTTTATCCCGAATCACACCGTTTTGTTCCGCCACCGTTCCGCCGTCACGGCTCAATTTTACGCCATTCATCATTTCTGCCGTTGGAGCCTCAAAGGTCGCCTGTTGCGACGCGGTTCTCTCGGGCTGCCTTCATGAATACAGCGCCGCCGCTCGAACGATCACCTGTGGGAGTGGTAAAAACGCCGGCCACTGGCCCCATTTTCCGGGCGCGTTCAGGACGAGTGAGACTGAATGGCCGCCGGTTTTTCTGGTCCAGCCACGTCAGACCTCGGCACAGAGGAAATGTCCCAGTCAGTTCAAACCTAATCGCTGCCTTACGATCCAATGCCCATTTATTTCAGGCGCTGATTATAGCTTATTCGTCAGCTCACCGATGTTCGACAAAGCAGATATTCAAAAGAAATTTGTTGGTCTCTATGCCGTTGTAAAATGGTGACTTATCCGTTTGACAGAGCTACCATGATAAATCAGTCCGTATCAGATTCTCCGTGAATACAATGTGCACACCTCTGGGCACCTGCAGCGTCTGTAGGTATGTTGTAATTGGGGGTGCCGCGTCCTCACAGGGAGCCATGGGCCGGCCAGACTATACAGGGAGATGCACTCCTCTCTATCTGATGGCTACCTTTGGTATTGTTCGCAGCTTGTTTTGATGCGGGGGACATGACCCCACCGGCGCGGGCCGGCCGCGGGCGCCTTCATGAATACAATCACGCCTATCGATCAAAAACTGCGACTCCGTGATGGAGAGCCTTGTTTGGGGTGGAGGCTGAGTTATACCCTCTGCGGACTCATCCCTCAGTTCTGTGCCGCCGCCGCCGCTACCGACGCCACCGTCAGTGTCCCCGGCAATAACTCATCACACACCCTTTCCGTTCCAGAAGCGCCCGCCGCACCCACCACCACCGAGCCTGACCCGACGACACCGCCCGGTGCCGAGACCGCCACCGCGCCGGACGCCGCGCTGGACGTTCTTCCCCTGTCAATTACCCACAACAGCACGCAGCTGCAGCTGCCGAGCACGGGCGGTCGTCTGACGTACCGCGCTGACGGCAGGCCGCCGGTCACCGTGAACGGCACCGAGCAGCTCGACAGGGTGACGGTGACGGGTCTACTGCCCGGCACTGGCTACGTCTTCACCTGGGTCGGGCCGGCCGGAAACAAGAAACTGCGCGTCGACACCAGGCGTGAGTACCTATTGGTAACGGGGAGCGGTTGATACTGCAACGGGTACGATACTGTTTGGAGATGAAGGGAAAATGTGTAAATAAAGTAGAAGATGAAAGTGCTATGAATTAATAAGAGAAAATGCCCTTAGCTCTACATCCATGACTTCAATGAAGAACGGCCAAATCCTTTTTTTCAAAACTCCAAGCCAAAGTCTTAGTTCAGCAGTCCATGACTCACAAGACAAATACCGCAGTGTACTATCGTATTCACAACGAATCTAGGCGACAGTCTCACTCAGATAAGGCGTTATAAATGTGAGCTGCTAAGCAATATGTCCACTTGAATTTAATCTCTACGCTAGAGTGACTGTCTGGTGTCGTTGCCTGTGGAAATGTTTCCAAGTGTAAATCCGCTTAAAGCAGCACACAGACGTTAAGTTGAGTTTCTATTCTTATCAGCTTGAAATCAAAGCATGTCCGCGCAGACTAATGATATCATGAAAATCTCCTCGAATTTGTTGTGTTTGGACATGGCGGACTTTTTCAGGCAGATGTGAAAGATATATCGCATCCTTCTCGTAGAAGGTCTTTTTATTACAGCAACAAAGTTTTCTAGTTGAAACTTGAAAACGTTAGCTGAATATCGCGTTAATATAAATAATTGAAAAGGGAGGCGAAGGTAAGAGAGCTTTTGGTATCAGCAAAGTCGAAATTCACAGTAGCATCGATTAAAATAAACAACGGTCATTCAAATGCAACAGATTTACAAGCGAATGCCCTCCTTTGTTGAGCGCCATGATTGGAGTATACAAACCCAACAACACAGCAAGACCATCTCATAAGGCGTTCGGGGTAACGGGCGTTGCGGGCATGTCGCTGTTGCCATATCGGAGTTGGCGGTTTGTCTTTGACTGACCAATCGAGCGGGGTCGGTGTTGGAGCCCCCGCGCCGTCCGCATCGGTCAAACCTTCTCGGTAATGTCCGCTCGCCGCCATACATTACCACACAGCGCGAGCGACACCGGCGCGCTAACTGAATCATAAGCGTTCTCACATGGAGATCAGACGCTCAAGGGCGCCGTGATATTCGAGCAACAGACGGCGGTGGTGACTTGCAGTTCTGGAGTTGAGAAGCGCACCCCCGATTCATGTTGCCATATGGAGACTTGATGGCCAGAGAAGGGTTTATCAATTATAACTGATCATGACTGGTTTACTTTGATCATTTATGACAACACAACCATTGTAATGCAAGATAAATTGTGTATTATGTCAGAATATATTTAGCTTGTCATTGTAACTTATCGTCTCCATTGTTGTGCTTGTTCCATAAACGATTTAACCCTCGCCCGTAAACGGTGTTTTGCCACCTTCGCCCATGCAGGGGGGTGCGACCCCCCCTGGCGTTTGAAAACGGAGCGTCGTAGAGCTTAGCGGAAAACACCAACGAGTTGCTCTCAACGAGATCTCGCGATTGGTGGTATATTTTTGGTCCTAGGTCCACATTTGACCTACTTATGGCCGGTCAAAGGTCAAACTTTCGGAAAAATCTAACTTTTTCAGATTTCCGCGCCGATTGCGGCAAAACGGTAAGAGATATCGACTTGAAACCTTCACTATCGTGATCCGTGATCAATTCTCTATCGTTGGGTGGGTATTTCGATGTCATACTTCTAAAAATGATGCGTTGGGAGCATCGGAAGTCTGCAAGGTCATTTGGGCATTGGGTCACGTTAGGCGTGTGACGTCACTGACCTGACCCTGACCCAAAATGAACTACAAGAAACAACCGACGATGCCTGAAATGGATAGCAAATTCGAATTCAGGGCATCAAAATACCCCGAAAAGGCATGCAAGTGCAAGAAGTCATTACAGGTCAACCGAGGTCAATGACCTGACCTTGACCTTTAGTAACCTTGAAAAGGTCAACGGACATTGTGCCAATGTCAAATCAGCCAGTTATGATTCTAAAACAATCCATCAGTGTGTCAGGTCAGTCGGCATTTATACCAATGTGAAGCAATCTCCAATTTAGCCTAAATCTGGCCGGAGGTTGTTCCCTTTATGACGTCATAACTCCGTGACCTGACATGACCTTGACAAAAAAAATACCAAAAGTTGCGAAAAGGATGCCCCATAGGGTACTGAAAATTTGAGCAGGCTATCTGAAACGGTTCGGCGTGTAGCTAAGAAAAACCTCAGGGGGGGGGGGGGTTGCACGAACATGGGCGAGGGTTAACCCGCGCCCGGCTGGGGGTCCTGGATTTCCACGCCCTGCTGGGGGGGGGGGGGTGTTTGAACACCCCCCTTCTAACTCGGCTCCTGGGCCACGTAGCGACACGCGGAAGGCGGCGTTCCAAAGAGCGTCAAAAATAATGACGAAATCACTTCGGTCAATTTTTTGGTCAGGTCAAAGGTCAGGTCACCAGAGGTCATTGAAGGCAAAATTTCGCCGATTTCAAGGTCGAATGTCGACAATTTCCAAGAAGCCAACGCATAACTCGGGAACCAATAGAGCTACAGCGCCGCGGAAAAGCGCATTCGATAGCCCTATTAACGCCCTTTCTGAATAATTTTCTCAGATTTGACCTAACGTCAACGGTTTTGCCTGCAGGGGGCAAAAACTGCAAAAATAGCCGATTTTTTCGGAAACAGTTTTTCTGCAATAACTTTTGACTCAAGCTTGTACGAGCTTACTTTTACCGGCATCGTGTTCCTCTCGTCAATACGCATCGAATGAACTATAACTTGACCTTGAAAGGTCAACTTGAAAATTTGACCTCAGGTCAAGGTCATGACCTGACCGGAAAAGGTCATGTTGCATATCAGTCGATCGGTATCGTCGAGATGAACACATCTAAGGCGTTTTCATCGCTCTAGCATGCCTCTATCAAAAGTTATTTGCGAAAAACTGTTAGATACTATTCGTGACCTAAGATGACCTCAGGGCATAAACAGGGGTCACGAACACCATTTTCATGTTCAGTGTGTCTAAACCACTTGTAATTCAGTGTTTGGGAGTGTTTATAATGTCTTTCGTCCAAAAGAGGCGCATTTCAATTTTCTCCCATTGACTTATAATGGGGAGGTCGCAAAATTGTCCTGACCTTAGGTCATCGATATAAAAATTCTGAGATATACATTTTGTACATGCTATTGCTCTTAGCAATCGCTGAAAGTTTCAAAGCGATCGGTCACTCGGTGTAGCTATGACAGACATTGAAACTTTTTATGAGGTGAGGTCACTTCAAGTGACCTGGTGACCTGACCTTGAATGACCTTGGTCTGAAATTTTCACAACATGTGTAGAATTGATGTATGATAAGGTGTACCAAAAACGGCGGCGCTCCGCGCCGCCGTTTTTGAGATATTCGCGAAAAACCACAAGGGGGGGTGTTCAAACACCCCCCCAGCAGGGCGCGGGTTAATATTGATTTGCATCCCATTGCCCTGCACTGCATACACTCACTAAATATAAATGTCCCTGCATCGTCGCTCTTCGAAACACAAACTACACCGAACACCCCCCAGCGTAATAGCTCTGTTTTCTGACGTTACGCCTCCCTCCAAAGCCGGTTGCGAAACCAAATCCATCTCCTGTGGGACCAGAGAGATGCATCTGACTCTGCCCTGACCTGACTGACTTGACTCTAACCTCTCCGCAGCCGGCTGCGTGACCAGCACTCTCTCCTACAGGGTCGGCACCTGACCCTGACCTGACTCTAACCTCTCCGCAGCCGGCTGCGTGACCAACACCACGTCCTACGGGGTTGGCGAGACCTACCACATGGGTTGCCAGTCGACCTGCGTCTGCGGCGGCCCCAACCAGCCGGCGTGTCGACCGAGGTGCTCGGTGGCACGAGGGACAGTCACCGACCCACTGTGCTCGGAGAGACCCGACCCTGCTGACCCCGAGTGCTGCGTAGAGCTGGTGTGTGCCGCCAGCAGTCCCGCAGGTGAGTAGAGGGAGATCAAGTAACAAGTAACTCTAGGGAAATAGAGGAGACCGAGAGATCGTAGAGTAGAGTGGCGAGCGAGGCAGTCGGCCGAAGAGACCAACAAGGTAATCGTGCCTATCTGATGAATGGAAACATGTTCCAGTTTTGTATCCATCAAGGTTCACGTTAACTGGTCTACATGCACATTCACAACAACTGTGCCGCGTTGTACCCACGATGAAACTTGGTAGTGCCCCCTGCAACGCTGCAATGCATCGTGGTCCGCTCTTCCGCTCATGAAATTTATGCCTGTTGATGCATATCAGTATTTTGAGGTTAATGTAGACGGATCTGTTGGCAAGCAATGTATACGAGAAACTGGGACGATCTTATTCAAACTCAGGCGGTCGAGCTATAATCCCGTAACTTGACTGGACAGCGACTCGACTAACGGTTCAGAGTTTACTCTAACTACGCAGCAGGTTCGCTATCTCAGCTCCGTCCGCCGTCTTTGTCTGCAGTGTGGCGGGATTAAACTTGTCAGATTCAGAGGAACACGTGTACATCTCGAACCTCAGAACTCGCCTCGTCACGTATGTACATATGTACTTGCACAGAACTGACGAGACCGTTTGGTTTTCAGACGAGATCCTGGCTGAGGAACCGGAAACCACAGAGTTGCCATCAACAACCACCAGCAGCTCAACCACCGAGTCAACCACCACCTCCGCCGAGCCTTCCACCACCACCACAGAAGACACACCATCCTCCTCGCCATCAACGGAGCCCTCCCTGCCCAAACCAAGCCTCATCGTGACAGCTCGCTCTCACAGCGCCGTCACGCTCGCCTGGGACGACTTCCAACCTCCTCAATACGCTCAGGGCTACGTGCTGCAGTACCGAAGGACAGGAGGCGATTACCCCTGGCAGAGACGCGAGCTGCCCCCGCAGCGTGGACAGACCGTGCCGCTGGCCAAGGTGGATGGTCTGATGCCCGGAACGGAGTACGAAGCACGCGTCTCACTACACGCCGATAATGATCCGGACGCGCTGGGTGATTCGACTGAGACGACCCGCTTCACTACCGATGGTAAGTGATATAGGGGAGCGGTGGGACGGTGACAGGGGTGGATGGATGGACGGGCTGGCGGACGGATGGATGGACGGACGGAGGGACCAGTGGATATAGACGGCACGTGGACGACGGGGTTGAATAGATGAACGGAGATGAACAGATTGACAGATTGACAAATGAACGAATGCACGAGCGGACAACAAGGCGAATGGACGATTGACGAATAGATGAAGTTATCAAACCGACATGGGCCTAAGCGTCTTCGTTTTAACTTCTGCCGAACAGTACCAACTAGCAAGTAACTAAATGATCCATGACTCTACCTTTGATAAGTTACAGGTCTTTGGACAGGTAAACGGCAAAAAACGACTTATTTGTACCAGTTTCAGAGCTACATTTTGTTTTCCCTGGTAACATGCGTTAATGATGACAGCAAATGCTCGCTGGGAGCCCGATCTCTACCGATATTAGGCGTTTTGCTCATTAACTGATGGAAAGCATTGTCATGTCATGGACCGTGAGAAAAACGGGTCGCTCCTTTCACGCCCCGACTGACGACGTTCCTCAGTTATCTGCAAAGTTGGGCCACCGAATAACTTTTAGACCAGAGTTTTGAGAAAGTTGAAGGGGTAGCCACCCTAGTGTTACACTTTTCGCGTCCTTATCCGCCAATGTGAGAAAATTATAGCACTGGCTCCGAAACTAATACCTTTAGCAATGAGATATCAGTCCCATATTGCTGCAAAGTGATCGCTTCTACGACGATACCTGTAAAACCTTACTTTCAGACATCGTGGCATCACACTTTTTCGTTAAATTGGCCGACTCAGCACCACATTCTGCCAATGACTGTGTTTCACCCTACAGATGGCTGCGTGGAAGGCGAGAAGTCGTACGCTGTCGGTGAAAAATTCAGCCGCGGCTGTGAGGAGAGCTGCACCTGCGAGCTGAAGGGCCGAGTGCAGTGCGCGCCGCGGTGTCCTCCGCCACTGTTCCGCGCCGGTCACTTTTCGGCCGACCCGCTGTGCAAGGAGACGGCACTGGACGATTGTTGTGTGACAGCCGTCTGTGACACGGCGCCGCTCGACGAGCATCACCAGCAAGGTCAGTGGTGGGGGGGGGAGGTCAAGGGTCAGATCAGGGTCAGCCCCTGAGCTGAGTGTCAGATTAGAGGCTGAGGATTAGTCGGGGGCTGAGGGTCAGTCGGGGGTTGAGGGACTGAGGGTCAGTAGGGGGCTGGGGGTCAGTAGGGGGTCAGAGGGTCAGTCGGGGGCTGAGGGACTGAGGGTCAGTAGGGGGCTGGTGGTCAGTAGGGGGTCAGATGGTCAGATCAGGGACGGTCTGACCAGCAGTCAGTGGGGGACTGAGGGTCAGATCAGGGTCAGTCGGGGTCAGAGGGTCAGATCAAGGGCTGATGGTTAGCTCAGGGGCTGTCTGTGATACGGCGCCGCTGGACGAGCACAACCAGCAGGGTCAGTTGGGGTCACATCAGGGCCAGTCGGGGACAGTGTGACCTAGAACCGCGACTCGAATTCTGGTAGGGCATTGTGGGATATTTCTTCAACTGCGTAGCAATGTTGGTGAGGTTCAAATAGGCGTAATCATAATTAATTATTGATGGTATTCTCACTGGACTAAGAAAATGAGCCAGCTATCGGGTTAATCAAAAGTTGTAACAATCAGACGATGGGAAAAATAGTAATGTTTCTGTACAACTTTATTGAAGCGCCCTTCTTTCATTCTGATGAGCCTCCGTCCAGTCTATTTTGTCACATGAGTGACTGAAATAAATCACAAAGCTGACACCCTGCTCCCGACAGGCGCGGACGGAGTGGACCAGTGTGAGTTCGTCCACTGCGGGCCCAACTCCCAGTGTGAGATGATGAAGGCAGCCTCTTCCGGTGGCGAGGCAGACTCCATGGAGGCACGCTGCATCTGCGCTCCCGGATTCACGCAATCCTGGGACAAGCCCGATACATGTGTGAAAGGTGAGACCACAAATACAACGTTTAAAAGTACACGGCTGCCTGTTTCGATAGCGACCGGATCGCTATCGCATGTTGGCAAAGCTGCAAATGAAAGTTTGAGTGTTGTTTCATTAGGAACAATGAACATGTATGGATGCACGCAATTTAAACAGTACCGTTTGATATTCGCGACAAACCGGTTTTAAGTAACCGTACAGGCTGCGAGTTTAGGTTAGCTTGTTTAGGAAAAATGTTTACATTTTACGAACCCTTGCTCATACAGCTCAGACTAAAAATGTGATTCATGCAGTTTATCAGATTGTGTGACACAGCCACTTACTAAGCACCAAGTGGTTACTGAAGTCGGCTCGCAACGCAAACTGCTTCGACAACAAAAACCCAGCTCATTTAGACTAAACATGTCCCTTGTTCTCACTGGAAAAATGGCATATCTTATTTATTACGGTGATTCTGGTGGTAGAACTTTGTAACTATCGGCTTATATGGTTAACAATATGCCTTGATGTTTTTCTTTTTTCAGATTCGGGCAATGTCATTTTGAACCGAACCGGTTGTGAGTACGATGGCATGCTTTACACGCCCGGAGACGAGTTCTTCAAGAGCTGCGAATACAGATGCCGGTGCTCGGTGAAAAATCAGGTCGAGTGCAAGGTAGGTGGCGAAGTGAACGGAATAAAGGTGATGAAGTTACCGTGATGACAGCAGGTTATTTTAATCTTTGAGAAAAAAGTAACATTGTTGCGTGGGTGAAACATTGCTGTTGCGACAGGACATGCGTGTCAGTGTGTGAGGCATCATATTTTTCTTATATTTCCAGTCTGGAATTCATTGTTATATGTAAGATTAGTACGGCCATCCACAATAATTGCTAACGGTGATCATGTCACCGTGTTCCAGCCCCGCTGCAGGTGGATGGGTGAGACTCACCCGTCCGTGAACAGTTACTAATGATGATCGTGTTACCGTGTTTCAGCCCCGCTGCAAGGTGGACCAGTCAACAATGCTGGACCTGCCGGCCGGCTGTGTGCGTGTACATGAGCCCGAGCCAAACCAGCACTGCTGCATGGAGCTGAAATGTGACAATGGTACGACCGGTCGGTACACGCTCCACCGACCATTGTCTGCAGAATGCGCGGTCGTATTTGGAATCCCCAATAAAGACAAATCGAATCGGAATGCAGCTGAGGTTTTGCGGCTTAGCCGCAGATCCATCACTTCTAATTTCTATGCATCATTAACCACTAGTACCTAATGACCTGAACGGAAGGATTATGCAAATATCAGTTCATCTACCATTTACTTCTGAGAATTTTCTTCTGAGATTGATTTCATAGGCAAATTAAACAATGAATTCGTGCGCATAAAAATCGATGAGCTAAATTCAAAGCGTCGCAATTTATGGTCAAAACTAAATTTTATGTAGGAGTTGGCTTGTAGATCTTGCTAGCCATGAAGCAACCGACCTTCTTCGGAAGAATATTTTGTATGGTTTGTCGTAAATCATCATACCATTCATTTCAGCAACGTCAGCCGAAGAAAGCACCTCAGAGGGCCCATTCATGGAGGACCCCCTAGAAGGCGAGTCGATCAGCACGCGGTTCGGCGCGGCGCGGCTGGACCCGGCCTCCTCCGACCTCAGGATCGTCGGTCTCGACGCCGTCGACGCCGGCTCCACGTCTGTCCGAGTGGAGGTGCCCGAGGCAGTAGCTCGCGAGCTCTCCGGATCTCTGAAGGAGGCACCCGTCACTGTCCAGTGGCGGTATATCGGGGACGGTGCCTGGGAGAGCCGTACCGTGCCTCACCGGCTCCTACACCTCGGTGACCGGCTGCTGACCATGCTAGTCACGGGTTTCGGGAGGCCCGGTGATGCCATCCTGAAAGTCAGCCTGAACGGCGAGACGAGCGCGGAGGTGCGCGGGGCCGATCTCCTCTCCGAGCAGGACGGCGGCAAGATGAACGAGGAACACACAGGTTTGTGACATAGCAGACGAGTTTCGATGTAATTCCCATAAAGTACCGTGATGCGCTATATTTTGTTGCCAGGCGGCGCTGCTTGCCCTTGCGGACAGCGCATGCTAAGTCATATGAAATATGTAATTCACGATTTCGTTGTCGCCGTCATAACACATAACTGTCTTGGACAGAAAAGCCTGTCACGGAAAGCAAATCACCGAACACTTATCTTGATCCACATGTATGGTAATAAAGAAACGAGTGCATGCATGCAAATGCTGTATAAATATTCACAATGAAATGTTCATACAAGGCCCACCTCACAGCGCTTGAATTGAATTGAATGACCTGTGGTTGAGCTACATACAGTGTAACTGATTCCAGTATCTCTTGTCACAGGCGCGAACCACGAACAGCCAACGGGCCAGGAGCCAGCAGCGGATACAGCCGAACCCATACCAGACGAGGGCTTCGACTGCGTCTTCAACGGCACGTCTTACAAGATCGGGGACGAGTTCCACGACGGCTGCCGCCAGTTCTGCCTGTGCACCTCCACTGGTGTCAGCTGTGCTGCCATCGAGTGTCCGCACCACTTCGGCCTCAAGCTGATCAACCCCGACTGTCTGGAGTGGAGTCATCCGGAAGACTTCCACCCGACACCCCCCAACTGCTGTCCGGAGGTCACCTGTATCGACGACGGCAGCTGCCAGTTCCGCGGAGAGACCTTCCGGAACCTGGAGAAGCTGCCCGAGAAGCTGACCGGCTGTGACGTCTGCTACTGCGAGTTCGGCAACGTCACCTGCCAGTCGTCCTGCGCGCCCGTGCCGGCCACTCCGCCGCGCGAGCTGCCCTGCTCTCCGGACCAGATCACGCTCGGACCTGGACCCAACGGCTGCTGCAAACTCTGGCAGTGCAGCGATGACGGTAAGCGAGGCGATCAGCGCGGAGACATGCTTGTTGTTCCAGGAGTGTACTCTTTATTATGTAATATGTTGAGATAGAATGGCTTTTAATAAGGTCACATCATTAATTCATGAGTCACAGTAACAAATAAAAACAATTTGTCATCACTTTCATAACAGTAAGTCATACTAAGTCGTGCTATTATGAGTTTACCGCTAATGTAGTATCTTTGCAAAAAGCCCAATAGTGCCGGATCAAATCTACTTTCACACGTGTCGGTAATTTGTGTCTGTATGTTTAAACGTGACATCATATCCATCCTCTCAATCAATTACATCCAAAAGCACATGTTCCTGCCACCCTAAAACAAAATTGTGATTGTCTTTTTACATTACCTAATTGTCATTGTGAATATTTCTTTTATTTTCAGAGACCGCTAACAAGACGACAGGACAAACCGACACGACTGATGTTGACTCTACGACTGGCGATGAGTTAGACACTTCGACCTCCCCAGACAATGTCCAAACAACCGAACCCTCTATCGAAACGCTCACAGACAACCCTATCCCACATGACCTAGAACATCTCACCCATGACAATGTCACTCAGACAGAGATGCCTTCTTCTAATGATTCAGAGGAGCCCACCCTTGAACCAGAAACCACGCCCGAGCCTGAGCCCTCACCACCTGCTCCAGTTGATCCAGAAGCAACGGAGAGCCTTACATCTACTGACGACGTCGCAAATCTGGGTGAGGCTATTCCAAACGAAGAGACATCTGAAGCGACTTTGCTTAAGGGTAAACTAACAACAGAAGGCACAGTTGAGCCAGCTTCGGAGAGCTCTGACGTCACAAAAGCCCAGGAGCCAGCTCAAGAGACCGAAGAGATTCCTGTTTCTAATAATGAAGCTTTAGAAGATGTGAGTACAGGAAACGAGGACACCGACGCGTCTTCTGAGCCAGGAAACCGACCCAATAAAATTGTGGTGATTGATGGAGAGCGCTACCTGGACTCCAATGGGAAGCTGTATCCGCTCCCTTCACTTCCAAACTTTGTTCGCCCATCAAATGCGCAACGACCTGTAAAACCATTTAGGCCACAGCCAGGTCAGCAGCCTCCACGACCAGTTCCACAGAGACCTCTACCTAGCAACGAGGAGTCAAATCCCGGCAAGCGCCCAGATGGTATAGGTGGCGTTCCTCCGCCAAGGCGACCGCCGGTTCCTCCCGAGGAAAGTAATGACGAAGAAGACGAGCCATCAGTGGTAGTCATCGATGGAAAACGCTTCCTTGAGAGTGGCGGAAAGCTTTTCCCACTGCCGGGAGTGCCAAGCGTCACCGATCAGGAACAAGACCAACAGACATCTGGTGCTCCCCAACCGGGAGCTCGTCCGATCCAGCCAGGAAAGAACGTTCCCCCTAGCCAAGGTTTCCGGCCACCACAGGGCGGCCATCCGGGATCGCTAGGACTGCCAGGACAGGGACGACATCCCGCAATCGGTGGACATCCTGCTGCACAAGGTGGCCGCCCAGGCCTGGGGGTGTTCCCTGACACAGGTGGGCGTCCTGGACCTGGAAGACGCCCAGTCAGGCCCAATGGGCCCGGTGCGCGTCCGATACTGGTCGGTCCCAACGGGGAGCGGATCCGCCTGGGTCCCGATGGTCGTCCCCTGCGGCCAACCGCTTCTAGCGGCCGACCGGGAAGTCCTGGACGTCGCCCCGTCTTCGTTCCACACTCTCAGGAGAGTCCTGAGATCATCATCTTGCCGGACGGACGTCGCGTGCAGGTGTTCCCCGACGGCTCCACTCGCCCTCTAAGCCGACCTACGAGCAGTCAGCGTCCACAGGAGCACCTGATTGCCATCGGTCCAGACGGTCAACCGATCCTGGGTCCAGATGGTCGGCCCATCACGATACCCACCTCCGCTGCCAGAAGACCGATCGGAGGCAATCGTCCGACTCCTCTGCACCAGCAGCTACAGCAACAGAACGTCCATCCCCTCAGACGGCCGCGTCCGCCGTCCCGTGGCGAGAGCGCTGGCGAATCACTTGGCAACTTCTCTCCCGGAGATAGGATTCCAATTGACAACCGAGGTCGACCAATCCCGGTCGGACCGAACGGTCCCGTGCGCACACCGGTGTTCGACATCATCATCGGTGACGACGGTCGGCCGATCACAGACGACGACGGGAGAACGATGTTGTTCCCGGTTCACGGCGGTGCTGGAGGTGGACCGTCGCCACACCGCGACCAGGAACCAGACGACGCCACTCTGCTTTTGCAACACCTGGCAACATCGACTCCGCCACCAGAACGCGAGCAGCACCTCGGTCAGCACAAGGAGGGTAAGGAAGGACCGTAGTTTGTTCGGTGGCAGTTAGTAGGTCGATGTGTGGTGGCCGACGCTTGCAAGGCGTTCTGCTACTCTGGTGGTGTGGTGTGGAAGTGAAGGCAGAACAGGCTTCACAATGTTCGTGGATTGGTGGAGGGAGCCTTTTGTGGACTGAAGGTGCAGCAGCTTGTCGTCGTATTGGTTCGAGCTCGAGCGGTGCCGTAATGGGAAACAAACAGCGACCCAAAACGGCAAACATCCATTCCGAACATGTGGGCCACCTCGCTTGTCTTGTTTTGGGGTGATGGACATCCCAAGGACTCCTCTGATACGTGTCAGACATGCTGCATGAGCTTGCCTCATCCTCCATAGACAGTATCCTTCATGACTAACTAAATGGTGATGCCGCTTCGAAGTAGCGAAGCCGTAACGGACGTTGTGGTGACTAACACATGACTTTGGACATGGAACACTGACGAGGAGGTGACATGACAACATTTGCCCTGCATAGCTAGACCTGAAATCAAATATCTGCCCTTGAAGAAACGGTCAGACAGACGCCACTCTATATGATAAACTTAACTTCACTGAATCGATTACCGTAATGATGCTGATTTATGGCTACCTGAATGTTTTCTAAAACAGCCTTGTCAGCGTTTAAATTATTTTCCGAGAGCCTACCAAACATTGCAACGTTCGGTCCCCAAACATGTGACCCATTAAGGACATAAAATCGCCCTGCTCTTATTCATATATCAGAAGTGCAAAGCCATATTTATTTCAATGTGATGAGCACGCCATCAGCTTAGCAACATCATCAATGCTCCTGCAGTCATAAGTCATCCCACTTCCCCGATCTTCAAAACGTTCTTGTGAGGTGGTGGTGTGGTAACATCGCCGTGTCGCGTTTGCAGTACCGTCTCGGCCTTCTGTGTCCGTGCCTTCCAGCGTGCACACTGAGGGACTCGGCATCGGACAAGGTGCGGTAAAAACTTTGACGTTTTTAAATCTCGCGTGCCATTTCTCAAAGTTTCACATGAATAAACATTTGCATTTATAACGTCAGTCTTGTTATGTCGCCTCGCTATATTCATCAGTATGAATGAATGGCTTTAAACTACATAAGTGAAAACATTGGTTAAAAAGAGCCTAGAATGACGTTTGTAACTAGGCTTGCAGAACTCTGATTCGTGAAAACTGAAGATCACTAACGTCTGTTGACCATCCGATGCAGGTAACGACATCGACAACCTGCGTGTCCGAGACGTGAAGCCGAACTCAGTTCAGTTTTCGTTCAGCATCCCGCCCGCGCTGGTCGGCCTTCCCGGCCGGACAGAGGTCCTCTACACAGATAACCCCAGGTGAGTGGACTGCACTAGGCCAAAGATTGATGACTAAGATCAGATGCAACGTTGATGCGATGTAGTACATACCTCGAATTACAGTCTAATCCCCAGCCTTCGAAATGTTCGTTTAGGGATTGTATATTTTAGGTGAAGCAATGTCATTAAAGGGTGTTGCAGTAATATTAAATCAACGTCTTCAGAACACAAATGAATTGCTCGCCTCTTGCTCCCTCAACAGCGTCAAGTATGACATGTCGCATCTGTTTCAGCTTCGGCGCGGAGTCGACCGACTGGGACCGGCGCGTATTCCAGACACCATCCGGCCTGCTGGACCGCACCGACTTCGTATGGACGCTGGGCGACCTGCGGCCAGCCACCACCTACCTCATGCAGGCCAAGGTGGTGTTCGAGCAGGTCTCCACCATCCTGCAGAGCAGCATCGTCGAGTTCCGCACCCGCGATCCCCCTGAACGTGAGTGGTTAGGTGGCGGGAGCCATGGGTTTCATAGATAATTTCAATTTGGTTGATCTTTCCCTTAGCCTCGACATCAAGCCTACCACCAAACGTGCATGCGTCCAGAATCGCAAGATTTCAGTACCAGAACTTGATCGTCAAGGGAAGCATTTTATTTACCAAAGGCAGGCTGGCAAGCTGGAACCTCTTGTTTTATTGTACAATAAAACTAAAAAGTAGCATTCGATTGAAGCTTCAGTACAAAAACTTGATCTTTTATCTTTTACTTTGCTATATGTACGATGATACCCGCCGACACTAACGGTCTGCCTGTCGCCTCTGTTCCAGCCGAGGTGGCGCTGCCGCCCAAGGTGGAGCTGGACGCGGAGCTGCAGGAGCTCGAGGTGGACACGAACTCGGCTGAGATCCAATGGCGACGCCTCTCCGACCAGGAGCTCAACTACGTCGACGGCATCCAGCTGCGCTACAGAGACGTCGATGTCGACGCGCAGGTGAGGAAGAAGAAGGCGGTATGGCGTGCTGTAGGAGGGAACGACCACAGCCTGACTTTCGGGACTGTATTGTGAAGAGAATGATCGCCATAAGAGAAAAGCTTATGCGCTCATGATATGCAACTGTAGTCCTCCCTGTATTCCTTTGGCCCAGATATCGTTTGGTAGCCGATTGACCCGTACCCCTCGGGCTCATGTATGGTTTGGTAACCGATTGACTGTGTAGGGCCGTGTAGCAGTATGGACCTTGACATCCCCCATCCCGTTTTCAGGTGTGGACGATGACGCCCTTCATCCACCGTGAGCTGACCTCGTACCGGCTGACCGACCTGAAGCCGGACACCACCTACGAGGTCGACATCGTACTGATGCCCTTCACCGACAAACACACCGAGATGGTCTCCTCGCACTCCATCCAGATTCACACGCAGGCAGTTGTCGGTTAGTACACGGAAACACGTAAAAATGTAATAGCGTAGTGGCGCAAAATGCAATAGCTATGTGCAACCCTGTTGTGAAACTCCTTTTCCTGCGAAGTTCATTCTTCAGTTTTAATTATCCTCGTTGTCATGGCGCGTCCTAACAATAATTGGTGACATGCGTCCTTCACACGTATCTGTCATAAAGTTTTGAAACATCCAAACGTTGCGACTTTGGTGCTACGAGTATATTGAGCCTTGCAGTCATTTGATCGGCATGAAGTTAAGTCAATCATCATGTTTGAAAATTGTTTGATGATTCATGTTTCGCAACAAGTTTCCTCCAAAGCGATCGTCTTTCCTCTCCGTGCCGTTCTTCCTCAATCACTTGCGAGTAGCTGCGTCGTTGTTCCTTGTTGCAGTCACACGTCCCGATAAGCATGACTGATCCCATTCATGCTATTTCAAGTGTGCAGAGATTAACCCCAGAACATCAGCTAAATACCAGTTAACCAGCAGACTAGCCAGCGTTCTAACAAGTCCATGCTTTTAGCCTAACTTATCGATCTCCTTCGCTCGTCAACAGACCGGTACGCCTTCAACGTCTCTCTGACGAACGTGGAGCCGGGTCCCACCTCGGTGAGGGTCAACTGGACGGGAGTGCCCAAGCCGCAGTACCAGTTCGTCAACGTCTACCGCATCGTCTACATCTACGAGAAGGAGCGTGAGGAGAAGCACACCTTCAAACTGGCTAAGACCTCCGAGAGTCCCTCAGTGCTCATCAAGGGGCTCAAGCCCAGCAGCAAGTAAGTTATTAATTGACACAATGTTCCGACTGATTGCTGTTTTTCAACATCACTAATTTTATTTAAATTCGATTGCCGTCAGATCATTATTGCTTATCTACATTTTGATCCATTTTATTCGTGCTACTGCAATTTGTTGAAGAATCGCTTCCGCAACGACTCATTTACAACACAGTCGTTTTTAAATAACTATGATCGAACGGAGCAGCCGCAAGTACGAGCCCAATGTTTTGTTGTTGTTGCTGTTTTTTTTTGTCGACTATCAAAACTGTTACATAACGCTTGTCTCTTTGTCTTCATAGATACCAGGTGTGGCTGGAGGCCTACCTGAAGAACGGCAAGAAGCAGGTGTCGGAGGTACGCGAGTTCGTCACCAAGCCCGGTCCGATCGGCAAGGCGGAGGAGATCCGGGTGGACGCGGCAGGTAGGCGTCGGCGACGGCGAGCAGGGAGACGCTCTCCATACCGGTCAAAGACAGACAGACTGTCGCGTCGAGTTTTCAGTACCTATTACAGCTAAAATAGGGGTCCATGCCGGTCACGGAAATTATACACGCGCGCTTCTTTCAGCCAGATTATCCCTTGGAGAAAACGTCAGTCAACACCGATGAGCACATACTCTCTCACATCATTGCAGCTACCCTATCCCAGTGGTTGACTTCCAGTACGTTTGTCGTTAGCGCCCCCTGCGACGTTTCGCTTTCGGCCTGCTCACGCCCCCTTCCTCCGGCAGGTTTCGGCGGCAAGCTGCAGCCATCCGACGACTACTACGGAGGTATGGTGGCTGCTGCCATCATCGCCACCATCGCCATCCTCCTGTGTCTGTTCCTGGCGTTCCTGCTGGTTCGGAGGCCGCCCAAACCCGCCGAGCCGACAACACCGGCCAGGAAAAACGGGCCCAGCTACGAGAACCCAGCGTTCAAGGTGGGTACTGGACAGTGAGTGACGTGATATCATGACGATGACGAAGCCGTGAGGTTGAGGATCTTAGAGAGCTAAGTGACTATTAACTGTGATGAAGTTTCTCCCGAACTGACTGATGCTAGCGCGTGGACGTGAGCTTAGAGTTTTGAGCCTTTGACATTTTGTACATAGCGTCTTCTTCCTAACGACCACGTTGACATCCGAAGCGAACCTGACGACGCAATTGTGCCTCTTCTGACCCTCTAGCCGACGGAGGCGACGGACTCGGCCTCCTCTGAGGGAGGGAGCACGACCATCACCACCTGACTGACGTGATGACGTAAGAACGTGACAAACGGACTCACGGTACTTGCGTCGGTACAGGCCGGGGACTCAGTGACTGATAACAGACGTAACGGTGACGTGTGCTGAGGGACATGGGTACTTGCCTTCATCTAGAGGATGAAATGATTGTCTGGTACTATTGAACTGTTACGCTATCAGGGGAGCTTGGAATAATTACGTTTTATAAATTATGAAGTAACATCAATGGTCAATAAGCGGCGCTTATCCATACGGCAACAGGAATCACTGGGATGGACTGCCAGACACAGACGTGATCTGACATGACCAGAGCCAAACGATTCACCGAAGACCAGCGCTTGGCTGGTGATTTATTTTCATTTGACGAAATGCATAATGTCACTTATGAAGTTTGTTCTTTTTGTGTGCAGCTGTTGACTAGTTCTGCCTTCCTCCTCAGAACTCCGACCTGGATATGAACGGATCAAATGGCAACGAGAGGTTCTCATAAACACGTCTCGCGCAAGACGAGGAGACGTTCCAAAAGACCGCTTTTTATATAGACGATCGGAGGTGATGTCAAGGTGACTGGACTCTATGTGGAGCCGCTTCACCATCCAGTAGGAGACGTTGTATAGTGGCGTGACTTTATCACGCGGAGTGACCCAGCTACGCTCCGGGGTGACTTGGTCGTGCCCGGACCTCGCAGTTAGCCGTGCCACGCCCTCAGCCCGGCTGTAGCGTCCTGTGGCGTTCACTAGGAGTCCAGCCGAGCGAAGCAGCAGATCTCTGGGACCCAATCACGCGCACCGTGCCAAACACAGCCAGCCGTGCCTCGGCGCGGCGAGTTCGGGGCCAGGACGGAGCGGCGCCGGCCAGCCCGGAACCTCAGCTCCGTCGCGGTGAGCCCTACCGCGGGTCAGCACCTCAGTACAGTGAACCTGTGCCTTCAGCGCGATCTGACGAGTGATCAACGAGTGCCTGAACGTGTTGTGCAATGCTGGTGTCTGGATGCATTCCTGGTGGTGCGCGTGATGAATGTTTATGATGTATGACGTGGTTCGCTGGTGTGGTGGACGAAGGTAGTAAGTCCAAGTACTTGTAGTAGGGGTTTGCAGGTCATGTATTTTGATACCGATAAATGTCATTCCATGTTGTAGATGTGTATGTATGTGGCGTTTTCTGGATGTTAACGATATGTTTGTGCTCGTTCGCTCTGGCATATAATGCCTTTTGTATGCCCCATCTTCCTTGGACATGAAGTTGACCGTGAAAGAAATGGGTCGACCACGGACCAGTAATAGTTCGCGCGCCTTTTGCTCCATGACGCGGAAGGCGAATAACCCTGCCGGCCGCGCATCCGTTGTTGTTTTTTACGTCTGCTTTAAGCTCTCTCGCAGTGAAGGCTGAGTGTGTATTCCGACTAGCAAAAGAGCACATGGGTACTTACTTTTAACCTCCATGGAAGGAACACACCAGCCGTTGTTACCTGACTTATTATGTGTGTGATCAAATACAGTGTACTGTAGAAAAAGAGTGTGCATGCGGGTGTCACCGAATATTTTAGGACAATAGGACATGCTGTTGATTACGCGTTTGAGAAATGAGAACAGTCCTACAACATGAAATATAACACCTCAACTGAGGCGAGAGCGACGGGAGCCGTGAAGACCATCCAAAATTCTGAACATCCTGCGGGCGTCGTGAGCTCTAAACCGGTGTGGGACTGGGTCCACTTAAGCTAATGGATACTCTCCAGCCTGACCCTCTCACTCGGGAAGAACAGGGTCCCCCGAGATCTATTTTATTCCGGTTGAGCTTAGTGTGGTAGGTACCCTCGAAATGTGGTGTCCCCTACAAGCTAAACCACACAGATCTGCAGAGCGACCTCTTAGATAGCAGTCCTGTCCGTCCAGTGTATACCACTCAGCCAGCTTTGTGCTCGCCGAGTGGAGCGGCTCCTGTTGGCTTACGGTGCTGCCATCTGTTGTACTTCGACGCCCAAGATTTTGCGTGCATTCGGCATCCGGACAATCAGGGATACTTTTCCGAGATCACCGGGATCATTCGGTGTTTTAGGCTGACACCGCGCACAACGGACATGACACCAAGTAAAAGAGCCATTAGTGAAGCAAAAGCAATATAAAGAATGCGACTAATTGCATCGATGGTCCCTGCAATACCAAATAATTACCGGAGATCCCGGATAATTATCCCTCAATTTCCAGATACCCAACGCACGGTTTGTCAGTCCCTGACAAAGACAGACGCGTCAACATAGTCTCTTCGGCAGGTGAGGAGGCACAGGCTAGAGACGAGCCAATCTCTCGCGATCGATCATCTCTTATCAGCATAGAGCTTGGCCATTGTAAAACGTTGTGTTGCTCTCAATCAAGACCATGGTTTTAAATGCTTATTGTTTAGGCCAACGGGTAACATATGTGTAAGTTATGCAGTCCGCCTCCCCTTGAAGCTTTTGAAGAAAACATTTCTCGATCTACAAAAAAAAAGATTAATTGAAATCGCAATTCAGTGGAAGGATATTTCGACACAACATTGGAGCAAATACAAGTATGTAGACCACCGCGTTATCGATTAAATCGCTGAAGTTCAATATCACATCAGCGAACGATGCGATAAAGCGATTATAGGCACACATTTCAATAAAACAAACGGTGATCGATAGAATTTGCAAGTTTTTTCGAGGCCGGCATTATCATACCTACATATACAAAACCGAATAGCCGTTAACCCTATTAGTGGCAGGGGGTTGTTTTCATCCACTCCTCAGGTTTTTCGGGAATATCTCCGAAACCGCTGAAGCTACGATGCTGAAATTTTCTGACTTTTCCTTAAACTAAATTGGGCACATTCCCTGAAAATTTCAAATTCATAACTTTACCAGGGGCGGCTCCAGAGCACTGGGAGTGGGAATTGGGGGTCCTATTCGTGAAGCGAGTCATTTGGGCGAAGATCACGATGCTGATGTATTTTAACTGTATGCACCAGTTTTACGAACAGTGAATGAAAGGTATCATGTGATAACATATACAAAGTTATTGTACATCCTCTTTTGACACGTTTTTGCTATAATAGGCGGATCCAGGCGTCCAAAAAGGGGGGTTATGTTCTACCTCCCAACATAGGTGCCCTGACACCGCCTATGCAAGACCAATACAATTGTAGTCGTTCTCTCATAAGATAATTGCAACATAACAAGACCATTACCAGTCCACCCTTTTTAGAAACAGTACTAACAAAAACCTTATTTACTATACTTTTTGTGTACCCCCAATCTCAATGATCTGTATCCGCCTATGGTTTTTGAAAATGCATATTTTTAGGATCCATGTGAATTCCTGGTTCATTCTCTATCGATCGGCAAAGGTTCAGAAACCTGGCCGTGATAAACAGTCTAAAATGTATCTGTAATTTGCCCGTTTTTACCCCCCCCCCCCTCTACCCCCTATTGACATTTTTTAATTTTAATTTTTAAGAAATGTAGATCACGTTGAGCGAAATCGAATGCCGTTTGAATTTTGAAAATCGGCCCGTTAGATCTCGAGATATCAGGGGGGTCGTAAACAGCCCCCCCCCCCTGCCACTAATAGGGGTAGCCAGGAGCCTGCCATTAATAGGGTTAAATCAGGAGCCTTTTCTCTCACGTGCCTCCACAAGTTGGATAAGGAAACAGAGTACAGAAAATATTCAATAAATCTATTGAAATGGCATTTAACCCTCGCATGTGTAGGGGGGGGGGTCGGATGGACCCCCCCCCCCATGGTTTTTCGCGAATAACTCGCGTAAAAAGCGGCCGATCGCGACGAAACTTTCAGTACCCTCGCATTGATCAATTTTACACCTACCCTGAAAATTTCATGACCCTGACCCAAATGACCTTTGACCTGTGACCTCTTTTCCGAGACCATGTTTGGCCGGAATCGCGATTTCGCGTATGTCGGCTCGCACTAGCCGCGTGTTTGCAAGCTTTTCGTGGTTTCAAACGCTCAAACATGTGATTTGATGTTACTCCAGTGTGTGTCAAGGTCACCTGAAGGTCAGGTCAGGTCATTGACCTTTGGTGACCTCGGGTGACCTCGGTTCACTTTTTCGAGTTTTACATGTTTCTAGGCTAGTTTTTGGAGCTGAATTCGAATTTAGCAACCATTTGAACATTTACGAAGTAGTTTTGGTGACTTCGTAACATGTTACGAAGCTGTCAGAGGCGGTTGACACGTACTACGAATACCCGTCACGATGCCTACTGGTTGACCTGACCTGACCTGACCCGACCTGGTCTAAATGCTTCAAGACATCATCTGTGATCAAAACTAACACGATATTCGTGATCAGCACCCCGAAAAACCCCTTAGCAGCCACACTTTACGACTTTCTAACAGGTCCCGATTTTCCCGACTTTAGGTCATTGACCTGACCTGGAAGGTCAACCAATGACCTAGGACCTTAAAATTGGGTATCATCGGCTTCCTCTCGTCACGGGCAACACGCTCGTTTTTTCCGCGAAGCTCTAGCTCGATCAGGGGCCAAACGGCAAGGGGGGGTCCAACCGACCCCCCCCCCCTACACATTAGAAGCTGGCAAACGCCGCACACATGCGAGGGTTAATATTCCGTTTTATTGACACCAATTCGTGGTTTTAGCATGTCCATTGCCTATTCCCACTGTGGGTAAAGGAAGCTTACAACACAATACAACTCACCGTCAGCCGCCACTGCCAGGGAGCAGCCACCGGTCGCTAACGGGGACTGTGGAACGCCGTTGGGGCCACTTTTAGAACGTGCGGGTCTTGTGGGATTACGTGTGACTGAGCGTATGTGTTTTCGTCTCCATCAGGTATCATCCATTTTTTACTTTTCACTGTTGTGACTCGAATTCAAGAATAGCGATATTGTATAGCCTGCCTTCTGAACCCGATACTGGACGCATAGAAGCCGTTTTAGATAATTCACTGCGAATGGACAGAGAAATACAGGAGCTTAGAGCCTCGAACTCTAACCTTCGAGCTATCCTCGCTACTATGCAAGTCCGTATCGCCAATCTCGAGGAGCGGGCAGCGAAGTGTGCTGCCAAGGACGACGTCGAGTCTCCCACATCTAGCATCCATCTAGCAGACCCGACCGTTCCTGACAGAACCACGGAGCCTACTGGAGATTCGTCTGGATCAGGAGATCCCACCGTGGTTCCAGCCGCTGATCAGGCAGAGCCTGTACCCAGTGCGGCTGCTACAATCAGCGGCGTCACTCGCCCGGAGCCTGGACAGACAAGTGCCTCGTCCAAGCCAACGCCTCTCACCATGCCAGAACCAGACAGCAGCGCCGCTACAGGAGATGAGCCGGTCTCTCTGCCACCTCCCTCTGTCTCTGCCAGGCAGAACAAGGACAACAAGAAGCCGGAAGGAAGCCAGCCACTGCTGCCAGCGAGTACCGAAACTGACGTGGCCCGCTCTCTCGATTTGGACCGTCTGGCACGTGCTATCGTCTCCCATATGCATCAGCGTTCTGGTCCTGGCCAACAGACCGACACAGACGACAGTGGCAATGAGGCGGGAGAGCACAGGGCGCCCGCTGACCCTAAACCGAAGGGCCAGAAGCAGCGTCTTGACCTGCCATCTCGTCCCACCGGGAGAGATCCAGTCCGCAGAAGGCGATTCTTCCGCCCTAGACAAGAGCACCAACAGCAAGGGAAGCAGTTCCAGCGCCAGGCGACCAGCAGAGAGGCGTCAGTTCATGGCTATACGACCCAGCGTAACTCTCAGCCGCCGTATCCGTGGCAGCAACGCGTAGCCGAGGCTCCTCTTCAGCAGTCTCGGCCACCACCGGCTGGTCTTCAGCCAATGGTATGGGGTCGTCAGTCAACGGCTCCACCGCAACCTGAAGTTGGTCAGTGGCAAGGTGCATACAGGTACCAGCAGCCAGGAACCCCATGGCTGGAGCCCCAGAATAACGAGCAGTTCTCTCAGCCTCCTCCTCCTCAGATGGTGAACATCCACCTTCAGCCAAGGCCGCAGACCATGAGCCAGATGTCACAGCTCTCATCAACTCTGCAGCAGACGCAGCCAATGCTACAGCAGCTTCAGCTGCAGCAGCAAGGTACAGCGCTCCCATCGGTGCCGCCGCCTCAGTATCTGCACCGGGAGCAGCAGCACTTGCTGCAGCAGCAGCAGCAACAGCAACACTTGCTGCAGCAGCAGCAGCAGCAGCAGCAGCAGCACCTGATGCAGCAGCAGCAGCAGCAGCAACAGCTGCCACCGCTCCAACCGCAACCTCGAGATCAACAGATGCAGCAGCAACAGTGGCCACGACTGCAGCAACAGCCTCTGACACCGCTGTCCCCACCTCACCTGCAGCCTCGGGAGCAGCATCTGCAGCAGCCCCCTGCACATGCGTCTGCTGGTGAACTACAGCCGCTGCGTAGTCAGCACCAGGTAGCGTTGGGTCCGTTTCGGACGGAGAGCTGGCCCTGTCTGTCAGCCGGGGGATCAGGCCGGACGGAACATTTCACAACCAGCGCCCCAT